AGCACCTCCCCCCCGGCTACTACCCTAGGGGGAAGGGCAAAGCCCCATGTGCCCTCCCCCCCCCCCCCGCCTACGCCCCCTGCTAAGAGCTTTAGTTGTCCCACCTTCCGTGCGAACTCCTTTCCTTAGATATAACACTTTGGCCTTTCGCGAGACCCTCGAGCGTGCAAGCGCAGCCAAAGCATTAGCGGGGGACAACGAGCGCAGGCTGGAGTGTTGGGACCGTGGAGCTCTCTCTCTCCAGGCTGATGCGCAGATACGGGCCAGAGGCCCTAAACTCGTCGAACACAAAGTTGGAGCCCAAAGTTCGGGTTGCGCTCCGATTGGAGGCCGGCGAAAAAAGCGCCAAGTCATCGTCGAAATAGCCCAATCGGTGCGCTCCATGAACTTCGGCCCCAACTTTGTGTTTGACGGGTTTAGCTCCCCAGGTCAGGCCAGCAACCGAAAAGGGTTTCGGGCGGGAAGCTCAGAAACAGCTAGGGTCTCTCTTATAAACTCTGTTCAGTTTACATATTTACAGGTTTCCCGTCGTCAGAGAGCACACACTAGCAGCCGCTCGCTGCCCTTGTGAAAAAGTCACTTTCCTCCACGTCCCACAATAGAGTGCGTTCTCTCTTTTTCTCATCACGTCCTTAGTAGACACTTCTTGCAATAAACTCCATAGCCAATGTCAGCGAAGCGTCAGTTTGAAGCGTCGGAGCACCGGTCCTATTCCTTACCCTCGCACGCGCCCCTAGCGCACACAGGCAGGCGTCCCTGAACCAGAGTCGTCTTGTCACTCCTGTACAGTCATTCCTTCGGCTACGTCCCGGCCGAGGAATAGAATTTCGAAATATAAAGATCATACCCTGAAGTGCGGACGTTCTGGCTTTCTCGCTGGAAAGGACAACTCCCGATGGCTTCTCGAAAAGCTGGCTGCTATCCCCATTGTCCAGGTGCACCTCGCCGCCAACGCGACGCCCGAATAGACATTCCCAGGCAATAGCGGCTGAGACGTGGCGTTCACGAGCCGGTAGCTGGTATGCTAAGTCGCACACTCACTCAGGTGATGGAGAGCCGAGCCTCCACATAGGTCTTTCACAGCACCGACCGCTTGAAAGAGACACAGTGCCATTCTCAAGTTTTCAGTGACTATAAAAACGTTGGTGAGACCTTGACGTCACTTGGAACCACAAGTTCGCACAGTGAGCCACTCAACCTAAGGACCGCTGCGACGCTGGTGAGTATATGTCCCTCCCAAAAATAAACTGTGGCCCTCAAACTCATTCCAGCATAGGGGGTAAATTTCAAGTGACACCTCTAGGTTTCCTAAGGAAAACACCACTTCTGTCTGTTTGATTTTAACTCGCCGTTTTGCCTGTGACACATTTAGCTTTGCATTGTTTATGTAACTGAATTGTTTGTGTCTATACCTGATGTGATAACAATATTTGAAACGGCACTGCCCGCAGAACTTGCTGGTATATTGAAATAGAACAAGATCACACATCGTTGATGATCTGTCCATGACCTAACTCGAGAATATACCTCTTCTGAAATTCGATCTAATGCTTTAATACATGATACCGTCAATTTGAACACGCACCATCGAATTTGTCGTTCACAGGTGATAATCCCCAGCCTGACATCAAGGGTGGTAAGTTTAAAAGGACGTCACTGCACGAGCTTGTGCACTGCATGCCATAGCACGAACCTCTCGCTTTGTCCTGGCATGGCCGCTCGGGAGTTCATGAAAGGCCCAATCGCATTGCTTCCATAACCTCTAAAACCATTATTTTAAAGATTGCACGCTGCTCTGTTCTTCGTCGTCCCTCAGTTGGAACACGTCTAAGGAGGTGCGTCGAAACAGGAAGACGGGGAGGGAGGCAATGTCACCCCCCCCCCCCCCAAAGTTGCTTGGAAAGAGGGGGCAAGGGGTATAAAGGGGTAAAGGAAAGGGGGAGGGGGGAGGCGATCTCCTCAGCCTCACACCACTACCATCTATATAGTGCGCAGACGTTTCAGAAAGGTACAATAAAAACTTCGGGAGCAGGGGTGCCCCCCTTCTTTACTACAATCTCCTCCCACGTCTCTCTTTCTCTCTCTCGAACATTTTCTACAACACGTCCTGACCCCGAATTTTTTGTTTGTTTGTTTGTGTGTGTGTTGGTCGTACCCCTTTTTATTTTCCTTCTCCTGGTTCTTTTCTCGCCAACCCCCTCGCCCCCCCCCCCCCCCCCCCCCCATCCCTCAAACACTACCGACATCCCTACCCACACAGCCTCTCGTTGGCCCCGGTAACGTTGTTGACAGTGACGGAAGATGAGCTCTAAAATCGCGCGCACCGCGCGCGGATCCACAATATCACAAAGTTAAATCTTTGCCTCGATTCCGAAGCGAAGATTTTGGCTTCAAATAACTCCTTCCCAAAGTTGTGAAACGCCACCTTGTCGTCACTGATAACTTCCGCAACGATCTTGCGACGAGAAAGTTCAGAGTATTCACAGGCCGCCTATGAACAAGCTAGACAGCATTTACTTTAATGCGGCGTAGGGATGTAGGGACACGCGGGCGCGACGTCATTAGAGCAGCCGGTCAATCGGCTGGCCCCACGGTGTTGCTCGCGCGCGCTCTGATGAAGCTCGCTGGGACTTCGTGTTTCTCAATCTCGCTTGAATTTGAACACCGAGAGAGTTTTGATGATTGACATCTTGTCCCGCGTGACGCCATCGTTGCGAGAGTCCAATCTGCACGCTCCGCGAACGTCAAGCACAAAGCCCAAGCTTTGTGCTTGACGAGTTTAGCGACCCAGGAGTTTAGTCTGCCAGAGCATGGCGACATTGTTACCCACTGTGGAGGAGCACTATAGCCAGTGCAGTACGCAGTGCTGGGAAGTACTTTAAGCATATACATTGTACATAAAGTACAATGGAGGAGGGGTACATTTCGAGTGAAAATGAAGAAATCGATCACATAAGACCATTATGGCGCATGTAATTTCTAGCGTTAGAGAGATAAAGACGGGGGCCCGCCGCTGCGGAATGCTTGCCGGCAGCGTGTTTGAGATGCTTGCAATAAACAAACAAGACAAGGGACGACACGAGCCCCTCGACTGCCCGCGTCCAGGGCGGGCCGAAACCAAGGGGGCTATGCAAGACGGCGATGTCCCGGTACCTTTGTCCCGCCGTCTTGCATAGCCCCCCCCCCCCCCCCCCCCCCCTCCTTTCCCCAGGACACCCGTGAGCCAAGAAACAGAGACCGAAGCGGTGTGCTATCCTACCCACTGCACCTCGAGGGGTCCAGAGTCCAATAACAGCTCCCGACATGGCTCAAGTACCGGAATTGTATGCTGGCATTAACTGAGGGAGAGGAGGGGAGGAGAGCGTGTGGAGTCGTCAGAAAAACCGAGCTCTGCTTGGAATGCCTAGCGGGTAGACGCAATGTTAGCTGCTTTTTGTCTGCACTGCACTCGTCGAACGCGTTTGAACACGGAACGCCGGCGTTCGAGTTCGCACGCGTTCGAACGGTGCAGTGGAGACACAGGCTGCTAGCTTTGCGTCAACCCACTAATCATTCGAAGCAGAACGCGGTGTTCTGACGACTCCGCGCACTCTCGTTACCTCCTCTTCCTCAATTTCTGCCGGCATTTCCCCGGACCACGGACTGAGCTGCTGGTGAGAGGGAGTGTCGACTCACGGGCCCTTGCCCTCATCCTCTAGCTTCTCTGTTGCGCGTCGATGTCGTGCGTCGTTGGCGACGGTCGTTAGCAAGATTTGTCATTACATGCAGCACATGTAAGATGCCGAGGATTCAGTACGGGCGACGTACCCAGCACTTCCAGCGGATGGTCACAAACTAAAACGTTGGTATGGTGAAGTAAAGCGTACATACATATTCAATAAGGCGAACTTGTGGCTGCGACTAAAACAAAATGGAACCGTACATCGCGCGACTGCGACGAAAGAGCTACTGTCTCACTAACTGGCCGTCCGCATTTTTGTCCTCGCCCCTGGATAATTTTTAGGAGGTGACCACTGTCCTTTCGCGATTTCACTCGAATGTTCCGAAACCATCACCTTACTAGGGATTGGTTGGGATCCGAGTGATGTCGGAAAACGACTCTGGCACGCACTTTACAGAATCACATGAACTTGAGGTATACGCGACAGTATATAATATCTTAAAAGTGAGTAACCATTACAATTCTCACTATTTAAGATAAAACACAATAAAAGACTACAGAAGATATGACTGCCAACTTTCTGATAAGCAACCCAAATTTCATCGGCGACCTGACTTCTGGGGATTCAAAAGGACTTAGCAGCCGACTGAACGCAGAATCGGGGACTCAACCCGGAAATTTATGTAAACCGAAAACAAGCATAGGATTATATTTTTGAGAACCATACTCGGATCAAAACAGATATTAATTTCTAAGGATGAACTAAAATTTAAAAACAAAACCGAAAAAAAAAATTCGATCTCCGGTTTATTGTGAGCGTTATGCATCTAAGCATTTAAAAATAGTAGCAACCGAAAATTGCAAAGGACATTTTTAAAGCCGCACTCAGCGGGGAAATGGTATACGGTCTAAATATCACCGTGTTTCATCCTCGCCGCAAATGCGTTTTGCAGAAAACACTGCGGTTTAAGCCTCAGGAAAATGCCCATAAGCCTATTTTTTCACGGAACACTCGACGTCGCTACTCAAGGCGGGCTTCGAAAGAAGATTAACGAAATGTGAGGCCGAAAGAAAATGTGTACTTAGAAAAAAGTATTCCGCCGTGCGACATCGCCATGGCATTTTATGTAATCAAAGCATGCTCAGTGTCACATTGCAAATTTCTTATTTTTAGCACATTATCTTCATAACTATTTTTAAATGACAGATATCGTCCTTGGCTTTATAAACAGCACCAAGCAGTCGGGGAGAGTAAGCAGATATACTGTCCACGTGAGTAGGCCGAGCATGCGCGTTGCATCGACAAGACAAAGGAACAAAAAGACCACCGGACACTCACGATTGAGAACGACGTGAGTGGACAGTGACTTTGAGAAGAGACCGTCCAGGATCGAGGCTGTGCAGGTGACGTTGAGGCCCCAGTGTTGTCGCCTCAGAGGCTCGATCCGAAGGATGGTCTTCTGCAGATCGCCTTCCACGATGCTGGTCACGTTCGCCACGGCACCCATGTTGTTCTGCCACGTGCTCTTGAACCTCGGTTTGCCTGCGGGCAATCGTATACACTCGAGATTAGCTTCCAAGCAGTGTACGTTTCATTTCCGGCTTCCCGTTTGTTCGTCCTGTACTAATGACACCATAAGGTCTTCTTTTAGAGTTGCAACGTACAACGCACTCACCGCGACTTTGAGTTTTGTTTCTGTGCTACGAAAGCTTGGAGTTTGTTTAATTGCGAGGTAATTTAATTCGAAAGAAGAACGACGAGAAAAAACACCAGCAAATAAAATTACATGGTTCAAATCGAAAATGTTTCTAGTAATCTGACTAGAACAAGTAATTAATGTGAACGTTGATAAATGACAAGAGGCGTGAACAACCCTAGAGGAACGGACTAGTTGTACGAAAAGAAGGAAACCAATTTATATAGTTTGTCGTCAATATCTCTTGCGCGTACACTGAACTCTCAAGACCTCATTGTCAAAGACAAAATGAGCAGCAAACTTGAATGAATGGGCCGAACCGTGACGCTATCGCCATACAGTAGGCGTACTGACTCCAAAGGCGCACCTGACTGCAGTATAAAATTCTCAAGGATTACACCACAAGCAGTCATAGGGGATAGGCACAGGCCCTTCGGGCACGATTAGCTTTATAATCAGCTACAAAAAAAAAAAAAAAAAAGAAACGCAAAGATAACGTTTATTTTAATGCTGAAAGCGCCAAAACTCGTAATAATAATAATAATAGTAATAATAGTAGCTTTATTTTTCCAACAAAATACAATGTTGAAAAAGTACGACACGGGAAGAAAGCTGTAAAAACAGCTTGACGAGCCCCGAGCCACCTATACCAGCAGTCGCGATGCAGGCGCCAAAGAAATTATACAAAAATAAAACATGACACGTGTACTACATGTTTGAGAAACTTCAAAAAAAAAAAAAAGAGCTGACGCTATACAAGATAAGTAGCATATTCATACAATTTACACAATAGCGAAAACACACACAGAACGTTAGAACATCACTGAAATAAACGCGAAAGAAAACATCGATTCAAGAGATTTTAGCGCTTATTGCGGACAATGAAGCTCGAAATTAACATCTGAAATAAACATTTCCCGTAAGATGCTCACCGATATATTGCTGAGCTCAATACCTTGCCTCGTAAGCTGGTTAAGGGTAGTCGGCAAAGTATATTTTAAACTTTGGTGGCCGTAATTTGATCCAAAAAAAGGGTACTTCCCAAGGTTCTTTAATTCGTGTTGGGTATCTATAAATTTTATCTGTTAGCTTCGCTAAGTTTTTAATGTGATATTGGGATAAATTTGTTTGTGTTTTATACCTTGCACATAAACAATATTTGTATAAATCAAACATTTTCATGACACCAATTTTACTGAAAAGACCATCGGTTGGATGTTCTAGTGGCACATTACAGATACTTCTCAATATCTTTTTTTGTAACATAAAGATTTTGTGGAGGTTGGTATAGGTAGTAGTGCCCCATATAAGTTGACCATAATTTAAATGTGAATAAGATAATGAATTATATAATATTAACTTTGTTCTAAGTTGTAGAGTGCGTTTATGACGATATAGAATACCGACGATGCTAGATAATTTCGCGAGTATTAAAAAAAAAAGCACTGGTGGATGTTTTTATTATTTTTTTTAAAGCCAGGTACGGGGTGCATTTGCACTCGGCCGTGTAGCGCCACCGTTCTCCCGAGGAATTCAGTAGCTTAACCTGTCTTGCAGAGTGGCAGTGCGAACATACACTATAGACGTACTGCAATGTACTGCCCACTTCGCAGTTGCTTAGAAGACGCCAACATGACCGTGTTGTTTGTATATTGTTTTTTTCGTGAATAAGTTCCAAGCAACATATACATCACTACCGCAATCCAAGCTCACCGCATCCCGGACTCTGATTATGAATGTGTTCGCTTGCTTCAGCCTTAAATGACTCTTCTTGCGCGACGAGGAATTGCAGTAAGCACATTGAACTCGTCAAATGGTCTAGCATCTCCAACATTTATGCAATTCACGAGATTTTCAAATTTGTTGCCGTAGGGCAGAACTACATTCCCCGCTGTTGACGATGGGGCAAACAAATAAGCAGACAAGAACATGACTTTATAGTTAATTTGTTTCTGAAATTGAAACGTGACCAATACATCTTAGGATGGAGTGCTAATATTGACCTTTACAGCCTTGGGTACGTTGACGTCAATGAGGAAGTACGATTTATTGGGAAAATCGATGAGCTATTGAACGTTCGTTGCGTTTAATAAACTGCGAACGATCATTAGGATGCCCAAGATCGTTAGATTTTTAAATGTGCATAGCTCGTTCGTGTATAAAAATAGAAAATCTCGCGTATTAAAATAGCTTATCGATGAGTGTCAACCAGCGTTCTAGGGACACTTGGAGAATTGTTCGTTCGTTGCAGAGACGAGCGTGCTGTTTATACTAACAAAATGCACGGTTGTGTTCCCTAAGCTCGCCCAAAAGCTTTGCCATCAATATAATTGATCAGTGCGAGACCGAGAGGCGGAAATCGCTAAGCGCGTTAGCCAAAGCCTTCTCTGCCTTCTCTTTCTCCCCCGGTAAGCCAAGAGAGGAATCCACTTTACAAAATATTTCGGAAGAATGAGATATGGGGTCAATCAGGGCGTCAGACGTTGACGGATGGGTTACTCCACGTGGTTTTACCAACATGCTGGCCGATGCCTGCACCTCGCCGTTTGTTTGTGAACAGTAGTCGTCTTTTTCCCTCTCTGGCAGATGTAACATTAAAAATATTGCCTTGTTGCAATACTCCACCTGACCATAATAGAGCTTCTTGCATCGGTCGGAATTTCGCTCCAACATCTGGGGAGCTAGACTCGCCAAAAACAAAGTTGGAGCCGAAGTTTACGGATCGAGCCGATTGGATTCTAGCGACGATGATGCAGCGCTTTTGTCACCGAAGACCAACCGACGCGCTTCGTGAGCCTTTGGAACCAACTTTGTGCTTGGACGACTCTGCTGGGCCTGGTGTAGAGATGCTCATTCAGTTGCGATCATCATCGAGGGCACTCCTTGCCGCAGGGGGTTTGCAGCAATATACCTCTCGCAAAATCGAAGGGACCCATCACAAAACATCTTGGGTACACTTAGGCAACCGTTTCGGTTTCGTTCTGCCAACCTCAATTTACGATATCCCGTCACGACCAAGTACAGCGCATGCAATTTTGAATATGTGACTTACCCTAAATATATGGTGTTACCTACCAGAGTTTGTGTGCAGGTTAATAAAAGAAGAAGAAGAATTGTACTGGGCATATCACCCTGTTCCACGGTCTCAATGTCCTAGGCTTCTGAAATGATCCGTGACCCGAGAGAGTGAATGAGCGCCTTGTGACCGAGTTTTGCTCAAACCAGTTTGGCATCACAGTTTCTTCTATCCGCAAAGCTCACCGTCTGAGCGGTTTTCCGTCCATTAAGAAGTGACCAATTATTGAAAAAATTTACAATGACAAAGATGTGGAATTGGTGTTAGGTCAAGGCCCCAAGCTAAAGAACACACCATTTAGCATATCGCGTGACTACTCTGAGGCCGTCCGCGACAAACGCTGTAAACAATTGCAATTTCAAAAACAATAAAGATTGTGACCGTGTTCGATTTCCTCTGAGCAAACGTTTTGTGAACAATGGCCTTTACATATTGCCACGCACGCCGCCGAGCGAGCGCGTGAGTGGCCGAATGGTTGCCGGGGTTGACAGTCGAGCGGAAAGTCTATAGGTTCGGTTCCAGACAGCGGAATGTTTTTTTATTTATTCTTTCAACTTAGCGTTCTCATAACCCCGAGAACATTGTCGTCTGATCGAGTCCCGAATGTTCTACGCGCCGAAAGTTCTACGCCGAATGTTCCATAAACCCACCCGGGTAAATAAAGGACTCCTCATGGCGAGCGGAGTCAATCTCGCCCCAGCGTTCGATCCTGCTGTTTCGCCAACATCGACGCCTGCGGCGCTAACCTTCTACTATTTTGTTTTGGGCACAAGTTCGCCCTTTTCAACGTTTAGTTCCCCAATAATTTGCCGCCTCAACATTTGTCGACTTTGATACCAATGCCGCTGTGCTTAATCCTCGGCCTACCAATGCTGCAGTACTTGTTCCTCGGACTACTACAGCATGATAAACGCCCCCCCCCCCCCCCCCCCCAATCCGTCAAACTCAAGTGTCTGTCTTGTCGTCGCGATTGAAGCGTTGTTCCCCTTATAGTTTTTGTTTTTTGTACACCAATATAAGAAGCATTCTCCCGAAAAGTATCGCTCTTTCTTCACTCATCGATTCATGCTCATCATCACTGATCGCGCTGACTAATACGTGGCTCAACTACACCGTTCACGATAACAACATTTTAGTCAATGGGTTCGTTTACAACTATTTTCGCTGTGATAGGCAGAATCGTAGAGGTGGTGGGGTCCTCACTGCGTTGACAAAAGAGTTCCTTGCTGTCCCCAATAGCATTAAGTCTTTCCTCGAATACGTATTTGTCTTCTTGAAGTGTGGTTCCGCTAACGTAATTGTTGGTGTTTTCTACCGCCCTCTTGATATGAAAGAGACATTCATGTAAGAATTCCCTCGGACTTTGGGTGAAGTTTGTATTAGATTCCCTAACTGTGTGGTTAATTATATTTGGAGATTTCAATGTCCCTGCCATAAACTGGTCGACATTATCGGTTGAGGCTACCAAAACAGAGGCCCATGCTTTCCTCTAGTCTTGTCTAGACCTCAATATCTCAACTCATTACACTTCGCACGCGGCGATCTAACACTTTAGCAAATGTTCTTGATTTAATTATAACCAATTTTCTCGGCATCCGTTCCGACATGGTTCACCTAGACAGGCTCTCTTATCATGATGTTATTACCGGTCGCATTTGTTCGCCTGACATAAGTACCACCGATAAGCGGATCAGATGTTACGACAGAGCCACTTTTGATTGACTTAACTCCGATTTATCTCTTTTCTCAGGACAGTTTCTGCAAAAATTT